CAGCCTTACGTTTATCTGACAGCTATATTTACCTTGCAGATTTTGAGGATATAAAATGTGATGCACAGTAAATTAAACAAGGCAACACTCTATAATAATCAACTTCACCTCAACCAAGCACAACATTAGAAATATAGTGTACATGTTAATGCATCAGTAATGTTTGTTAAATATTATAAATATTATATATATTATAAATATATATATCAAAACTAGTAGTGCAAAAGTGTTATAACACTTTTGCACTACAGTTTTGAATGCAACACTTTTACTTGTGATGGAGTGTTTGTGGTATTGTTATTCTTACTTAAACGTACTACTAGGAGTTTTTAACTGGTTATGAAACAGTCTGACTTTAATTCTGATGCCTCTATATGAGCTACATAAACAAACAAGACCATGAGTGAGAAGCTCTCTCTACATATATAATCTGAATCTGAAATTAACGTTCCTTGTAGCAGCTTTTTCCAAATATTGAAATCAGCTGTTTGGTTCAATGTTGCAGAAGAAAGACAAATACTTGGATCTTGTTTACAACTGTTTATATATATATCATTATACTTTGTTTGCTTACCTTATAATGAAACTATATTGGGATCACAGTTCATCCTGAGGGGAAGATGAACGTGTGAGCCGAAAATGAATGCCTCATCTATCCAGTAAATATTGAGATATTCTTACTTAATAAGTAAAAAAACCTTGACCTGTAAGACAAGAATTCATTAGCATAACGTTAACCAAGACACAACCCTCTGCTAACAATAAGAAACCTGTTGAGTCCTGATTCAGAGTGCTTTAATTAGTCAGTGATTGACCTGAGCGGCAGCAGCAGCAGGGATGAAAAGATGAAAGCGTCGACCAAAAAAAAAAGGCCCGGCGTGGTGATTAAATTCATACCACCTCCACCTCAGCTGTCAAACACGGTGCAGGTGGTGTTTTGTGTCGGACGTGAGTGGCTGCTGCCAGTGGAGACAGCTCGGTAGTGTTCAATGCTGATGTCACTGTTGACGGCAGCAGCAGGATGAAGCAGAAGAAGACAGTCTAAACTGCAGTAGAGGAGTGAAGATGGTCCGGTTATAAATGCGGCATCTCAAGGATATCAGGCCTCTGCTGATGTCTGAGTCACTTATTGACTGGAAAAAGTGTTTTCTACCAAATTTTAAAGGGACATTGTGAAAACAGTATAAAGCCAACCTGTGGCTCTGGTGTTACAACCTATCGTGACGTCCCCCATTGGTTTGTGGAGTACCCGTTTTAAAGCCTCCAGTTTGGCGTCGAAATCTTGTTTTCAACGCCAAACTGGAAGAAGTGGAAGAAGTGACCACATTTGGACTTCAGAGTCACACACCTTCTTGTATTACAACTAAACACTAAAATATGTTTCTGACAACATTTGAGGTGAGAAATGGTCAACGCAATAACAGAATCTTGATTCGTATTTGATTTGTATTGAAGTTTCCTGCGTCGTGTGAATCACAAGGTAGCCGCGCCCTAAAGCAGTTAGGTCTTTGTTGAGCTCTAAATGGACGAGTCAGGTACTAGCGATGAACAGGTCGGAGCGGGGGATGGAAAGGAACTGAGAACTAGAGACTTCGAACAGGAAACGCGAAAACTCATCAGGAAACTGTTCATAATAAGTGAGAATAAGGGTCATTGTCTCATGAGAGTAAATGCAATCTGACTTCTTTTTTGCAACCAGTGGTGTTGCCCCCTGCTGGCCATTAGAAATGATGCAGGTTTATTATTCCGTCTATGTTATTTCGTCTCAGGCTTGGGAAATTCAAATGATCAGGAAATTATTGTTCAAACTGTTTCTGTGGAATATTAAAGAGAGTTTACCAGCAGGGAGGGTATAATTAAAGGCACTATTGAGTTGCATTATGGGAAGTGTAGGGTTTTTGGTTCCGATCAGGAAATCTCGCCCCTCAATTTCCACAATTTAAAAAATGTTAAATGCTCTTTAAAAATGACTTAATGTATATAATGGGCTCAATTTGTTTTTTTAGGACCTTTTCAATCATGTAGAAGTGTACTCGAGTGTGTGTCAGTACACAGTGACATCACTGTGGGGTGTGGCTACATTTATGATGCTGGTAGTGGTCAGAGGTAAAAACATACATTCAACCCTACAGCACAGTGAAAACCTGCTTTTCAACTATTGTTAAATTAGCTTAAACTAGCTTACTGTACATTCCTACGCCGTTCATCCGATGTGGATTTAAACACCATAAAATTAAAGCTTAAACCTGCACTTTAAAGGATAAATCTGAAATTTTTCTATATTTTTCTTATTGTGAACAAATCTCATAAAAAGACCTACAGACCTTTGAAAATGGGTCTCAAATATATAGTTTTTTTATTTTTTTAAATGGCTCATTAATTTCAGCTCAGCTGGTCACTTTAATTTTTAGCAAATGTTCTTCAAACAGGAGGAAATAGTGCTTTTGCTAGGGACTATTTACAGTGGTGAATTAATCTACAATTGTTGCTTTTGATCTTTTGATCTTTGTATTTACTGACAAGAGACATATAGAATATCACCGCACTGTTTCCCCTTAAATCAAACTGGAGTACAGGTTGTTTGTTAAAAACATAAAGCAGTGTATTGATTTATTACTATGTGGAAACTAGAGCATTGCTAATAGCAACACATGCTATAAATACATGCTGCATGATGTAGGACACTGATCATCATGTGATTTCAGTTACATAGTGCAGAATGAGGGCCACACAAGTACAGGAACACACGTTTGATCCAACATACGGACACACAGTATCTGGTGCATTTAAACATCTGCAGTCAAACAGATGGCAGACAGATTTTAGCAAGAGCTCACCTCATCTATTTGTGTTATATTTGATTGACGTTAGCATCAACTTGACACTGATTATTGTCGTTATTTTACTGTTGTATTGTATTTTTCCTTGCTCGTTTAATTTTTAACCATTTAAAAAAACATCTTTTGTTATGAGACAAAGATGACTCTAATTCTTCTTATGACACTTCCTGTGTGTCATTCATTGTCATAACAGCTCCATTTTTGGTCGCTACAGTAGAGATTCATGGGCCCCACACAAACACGCTTGCTGCTTTGCATACCGTCACAACATACAGAATAATGTCTTTCCTTTATACATGTAAATCCTTGCTGTGTTTCAGTTTCATGGGCTGTGACTCATACAGGGAAAATGTTATGTTACTGTCTGAGACATTGGTAACTGCCACCTTATCTGCTCTAATAGAGAAAAGCAAGGACAAACAGTACAAAGGCTGATAGAAAGTGGCTGCCTCTGCTGGTGCTGCGGAGGACGAGCGTATGAAAGGGAACTGTTGAATGGATCCCATGCAAGCAAAAAGACAAGAACTTTATATGTTCGGCTTTTCCAAAACCTAAAACAACTTGTGTCACATACAAGCAGGTTTAAATTTTATATTTTAAAAACATTTCAAAGACCACTTAAATCAAAACGTATTCATATATTTTGAAGCAATATAGAAACTGACTGCAGTGCAGACGTGATGTGTGTGTGGTTTAGAAGAGGAGATAGGTGTGTATGAAGACAAAACATGTATGTACAAGCAACAGATATTAATATAGTATGGTGTTCTGGTAGCTCACGTTGTACAGCAGTGAGCCCCATATACTCTAAGGCTGCAGCAGCTCAGGTGTGATTGCATGTTCTCTCCTTATTTCCAGTCTTTTTTTTCAACTGTCTCTGTCCATTAAAGGCAAAAATGGCACAAAAAAATGGATAGGCAGCTATTGTTGCACCATGAGCCTTAGGAAGAGGCCAACCAGTTAAAGGTCTTAACATCCATCCAGGCGGTTCTAGTTCCACCACTGTTACAGATAGCCACTATTTAGCAACCCCTCTCGTATCAGAAACGTTACCACACATTAATCATGTCCATTGAACTGTCTTAGACACTCACAAAGACACAGTGTAAGTAAGAGTGGCAAGTCTACAGGGTCATCAGGCGGCAAATTATTTTTTCCTAAAATGGCGAAATCAATCCATGAATGAGCTCGATGTCAAACCCCAACTCATTTTGGCCTCTTTTTTGGTTAATGTAGCTATAGAAGATTTTAGTGTGGTTGTTAAAGGGTTTAAAGTTTTGCGCTCATGAAACAATTCATGACTTGACATCATCCAAAGAACATTTTGCCATCAGGTGCAAATCTTCTCAATAACTGGTGTTTCATAGAGTAGGATCCACAGAACAACCTCCTCTGTACCTGCACCCACAAACTCAACACAGCCCTCTGTAGCAAGCTCACACTGCTGGGCTAACATCAGTCTACTACTGCTATGGTTGTTGTTGTTGTTGTTGTTGTTGTTGAGTCATTACTATGAGTACTATGGGTTCCCTCCACCCACCAGCCCAACCACCCCAGGAGGCCAGTAGGCTTCAGTTGAGTAAACAACAAACAAAAGGAAAAGGCTGATTTTAGGCGTATCTATGAAAATATATTTTGTGCCCTAATTCTGCATAATTTTCTAAAGTATTTTATTTTCCATAGAAACCTGTCCTACTACGTCTCCAAAACCGCCAGCTGGGACCAAGAGGGATGGAGGGAGAGGGCTGTAATCCTGGGGTAGCTATAGATTCAGGTAACCCCTTGCTAAAAGCAGTCTTCCTCCGTCGCCTGCGACTCACACGGCTGCTCCTGGAGGGAGGCGCTTACATCAATGAGAGCGACAGCCAAGGCCAGACACCCCTGATGGTAGCCTGCAGGACCCAGCATACCGACGCCCAGAGCGCCAGCCGGGACAAGCTGGTCCAGTTTCTTCTGGAGAAAGGAGCAGATCCCAACATCCAGGACAAGGAAGGTCGCTCTGCGCTGATGCACGCCTGTCAGGAAAAGGCTGGCACTGAGGTGACGTCTCTACTCCTGGCCAGTGGAGCAGACATTAGCCTGGAAGATCAGTCCGGGACATCGGCGTTGGTGTACGCAGTCATGGCCGGAGACTGGAAGGTTTTGAAGCTGTTGCTCGACACATGCAAGGCTAAGGGGAAGGAGGTGATCATCATAACGACTGACAAATTCCCATGTGGGAAACTGCAAGCTAAGCAGTACCTCAGCATGCCTCCTCTTAGTCCTCTTGATCAGACGGACAAAACTATATCAGCAGCTCCTGCATCCCCGTCTGAAATTCAGCTCATCACTTCCCCCCAGTGTACTTCCTCTTCCTTATGTCCGCCAAAGCCTGTCTTCTCCTTTAAAGAAGCCCAGTCCTGTGGTGTTAGCTCCCATCCATGTTCCCCATCACGGTTTCAAAGGCTCGGCCAAGCGGCGCCGCACGGACTGCAGCAGCCCCTCCTAAGGTTGAACTCTGAGCCCTGGCTAAAGATCCCGGCTTCTCTGCTCAGCCAGCAGCCTCATGCGACATCGCCTTTAGAAAACGGTAACCAAACTGAGGACCTCTCTCTCAGAATTCCCAAACTGGATGAGGACAACAGCACAAATTCAGCAACTGCCGCCTTCAAATGGTATGAAGGAAGATTGGCGAGGTACAAAGGACTTGAAGGAAATGCTAAGAATGAATGTGGCAAACAAGTTGGACCAAAAATGTCCTTACCAGGTCTCCTATCATCCCACTCTGCCTCCCACCCTAACCTCCATTCTGTAAACCTTGGAACAGATTCAATCGCCTCCTCTTCCTCCTTTTCTGGTGGCAAAAATCTTGGCACTCCACTTCACAGCATGGCCTCGTCAAGCCTTCATAGCATAATCCAGAGGCGCAAGCTTGGGGCAGACATCTACAGCTCTGACCCCCAGCTCGCAGTAGACATCCAAAATCTCCCTGACGAGTCCCAGCAGAAAGCGAGAGACCTAACAGATGGCAAGAGGCTGGCCCCGTTGCGCTGCTCCAGCACACTGGGCTCCAGGGAGTCACCATCGACTTCAGGCCCAAGCAGGAGAGTCCTGGCTGGGTTTGAGCGGAGAGGGTCTGGAGCCTTCTTGTTGGACCACAACTCCCAGGTCAGACCTAGATCTCTGCCACCTCTGACCCTCAACTCCACCAACAACCCCATCCTTAATGTTTATAACCTCAACTCCAGTGCCGAAGGTAGTTTCTGTGAGAAAGAGCCTGGCCTTAAAAATTTCCTTCCCTCTGCTCCTCCCGGGCACCCGAAAGAGCTGACCAAGAGGATGCTGCTGAGGAGACACTCGATCCAGACCGAACAGTTCAAAACCACCGCTTGAAATTGAGCCAGGAGGGAAGAGATGTTCATCAGTGTGTTTTAATGTGAAATGTTTTTGTTATGTGACGTAGTGTCTGTGTAGTGAAACTCAACGAGGGGAAACCAAAGAGGATATAGAAAAAAAACTAAATATCCTTTGAGTGATGTAACATAAAAACTGCAGGTACCTTTTTCTGCTTCAGTGTGCTGCGTGTTGTCTCTGTGCATGATGCTTCCCTGTGCAGTTTGTACTTGCAGCACCTCCTTAAAGCTGCTTTAAGATTTTTTGGCCACTTGGGGGCAGCAGAGCAAGCTAAAAACACAACATCTGACACGTTCTTTAAGCTAACATGTTTAGCTACAAAAAATACTTTTTAGCTGCCAAATGCTCCATTGTGTTCACCAGCTTGTCTCTGTGTCTTTATTCAATTTCATCCTGGACAGATACTTTATAGTTGGTTAATTCAAGCTTTTTAATGAAAACAGGGCTGATAAGAGTGGAAGGCAGACTTAAAGGAAACAGTATTGTTGATAAAACTCTGGATTGGTCACCTTTCATATCACCTATGAACCATTTTATTCATTGTTAATAGTTTTAAAGGCATAATGAGTAGGATTTCTGTGTTTTAAAACGTGATTTAAAGCTTGCCCCTCCTCCCCCACTCAACAAGAGAAAGAGAGCAGCGGTGGTCAAATGAGCTGTAGAGTAAATGACAAGAGGGAGCAGGATATAAGCTGAACCTTTCTAGCTAAGAAGGCCAACGTGTAATTTAGTTACTAAAACTGATTATACTATTTACCGAAAAACATTAGCTTAAAATATCGACACCACTATTTAAACTTACCTGACTAGCCAATCTTCAAAGCTCAACTTGCCAGGCAATGTCTTTTTTTTGCCATTATAATCCTGGTTACTACATTTTTATAGAGATTTTATAGAGTCCGACCTCACCCTGTGCACTGCCTAAAGGTCAACTTCCTGTAGAAGAAAATACAAGCAGAGGGCTGCAGGGTATGACCCTACAGATACAGACACCACCTCACACTTCTACTGGTTCAAAAGTGATGTTGTTTATATGAGTCTATACATTGTATTTTAGGAGAATCCTACTCATTATGCCTTTAAAGCCAACGTGCAGAATTGAAAATCCCTGACTTTGGTGCCCCCCCCCCTCAGTGGTACTAACCAAACAATTCACTGTGAAAGACAACAACAACACTGCTTCATTTTTCTGCAAACAAAAGCCTTCAGAGCACTTTCAAAGATCTTGTTATTGCTGCTTTACACATAGTGACTCTTAGTCAAGAGAAGTTGAGTGTTGAAAGTGTTTTCACTGCTATTTGCTCAAGGAGTCCCAAATATGTGTCTGTGAGAAACCACTGTCGACGCTTACTGTGTAACAGCAAAAAATGTTTAATAAATGAATTTATTATAATAAAAAAGGTATCACAAATCATTGTAAAAGTACATCACTATGCATTAAACATGCATAATCATTTGTTCTACCATAGATAAAGAAACACCATAGCACACATGTGAATTTGCTTCCACAAATGGCTAAAAACATTAACATCCCACATATTTACACGTTTATATTAAAAATGAGAATGAAAAGACAGTAAAATATGAGCTACTCACGCTGAGTCATTGTGGCAAGAGCTATTAAAAAAACGAACGTGGATTAAGCATCAATTTGTATTCACGCCACAATCTGGTGGCTTAACTCCTCTACTAGATCTTCAGATCACATTCAACAAAATAAATACATCAAACAGTTTTTACGCCACTCATAATACAAACAGCGGCATAATACAAAACAGAATATTTGTTTCTTGTGCCTCCAAACATTTGCAATGTTTCACATCAGCTCGGACAGACTGCGATGTACATCAACGTAGCTCCGTATACAGTTTGCCAGTAAAGCCTCCCCCCAATGGCAGCGAAGCAGATTTAGTCCCTTCTGTCACGTCTCGGACAGGCGTAAAATCTCTCTCAGGCCCTGCGGTCATAATCGCTGACCATCTTCTTGATGTGGTTCAGTTTGGACTTCAGATATTTACACCTGCGCTTCTTCATCTGATAATCTGGAGTCTGTACAGAGGACGGGCATAAAGAAAAGAGACATAATGAGTCATCCAATCAACAGCTTGCAAGTTATATAAAAAAAAAAATTTTTTAAAAATCACCAGTTGCTTTTTTTTTTTTTTTTTAAATGGCTGTAGATTAATGACCACATACCCGTTTCATGTTCTTTATCTTGTTGTACTCATCCATAGCATCCTGTTAGAGAACAACAGTTCATCAGACACACATTGCAAATTAAATTACGTCACAGAAATTTCACATTTAACAATTTTTTTTATGGAAATAAATTATTTATCTCCATCACTAAGAACTTAAGGCAACTTGGAGGCAGCCAAACAACCTATAAACACAACATAAACACTATTGGTAGAACACAGGGGTTCCCAAACTTTCCCAAAGCCCCCAAATAGCTTTAGCATATGGCCGTGGGCCCCCTTTTGCAAGATGTCTTTAAAAACCGATTGACAATACTACAAAACATAAAAAACAACCTTCTGAATATTTATAGATTATTTAAGTAATATTTCCTGACTTTAAATTTGACATTATTAAACTTGATGTTAATCTTAATGCACAGTGGTTAACCTTCATTTCAACCTCTGCCTTGTAAAGTTGATATGGTGAACTTTGCTATTTACACATCCAGCAGACATAAAACAACATCATTCATTTGGACTTCATCTATAGGTCTAATACTGAATATATTCTACCTGTTAAATGCTCCACTATATTCACCAGCTACTTTCTAACTATCTGCTATACAGTGAGTTTCACAGCTGGGAGATTCAATTTGTGGGCTGTAAAACCAAAACAATGAGTCAAAAGAGGTTAAAACGCTCTGTAGAGCTGAGGGGAAGTGCAGAGATGGTGATAATTCTCTGTGAGTTTGTCACTACAAGCAGCTCCTTCCACATTTAATCCATTGTTAATATGAAAACTATACGATTAAAGAAGCTCTGACACATTTTAAAGCAAACTACATTCGTGGCATCTCCCGGGTCTTTGCATAGATACATTTTGCTTTCTAATTGGCAATATCTACATGCTTCAAACTGAATTAACAAAATATTGGACAGTAGTTTGAGTGCTTGAAGTCATATGAATGAATATAAAGCAGTGAATAAATAAATATCAAGCAGTGTTTCCCTGTCGGCTCTCACCAGGTACTGCGGGCTGCCCTCCTGCAGATCATCCAGCTCTCGGTCCACCTCCGACAAACTCTTATTGATGGCGTCCAGCTCTGCCTGCAGATCCTTGTACTCGAGGTGGTCGCGGTCAAATTCATGCTTGTAGTCGTTGCGAATCTGCTCAGTGGCTATTGGAGGGAATTCACTGAAGCAGAAAAACAAAGTTTACAATTTAAATTAGAGAAAAGAATGTATAAAGTAATCAACTAAGTTAATTAATCAAGTAAAAACCATTTTGTGCTTCTTTAAACTTCCACTGCACTACATTTATCTGGTTTCTTGAGTTACTTCGTTTATTCAAATTTCCAAAAGTGCAAACGCCACAAAAATGTTCATCACATCAAGTAATTTGTGTCTGTTATTAGTTAAGGTAAAATAAAACAGAAGTAAAAACAAAAACAAAAAATCTGGTGAGTCAACTAGTTTTCTAAAAATAAGGAGACATTTTTCTTGTGACTCTAAAGCAAAACTTTATTCACTGATTTTGGTCCAACTGGACAATATTTTATGGAGACATTAGTTTAATTTCTTCCTACCGGTCAAAGTCTTCATCGTCCAGCTCGTCTCCTGAGGAGTTGTAGTCGGTTTCGTAGTCCTGTCCGTCAGCGCGGCGCGGCCGGCCTGCGCGTCTCTTTTTGGGCCTTCCAGCCGAGCTGGCTAAGTCCGAGTTACTGCTGTAGGGAACGCCATTATGCAAAGGCGTGGCCTCTTCCACTGCAGGCCTGAGGGACAAATAACAGAACAGCATTCATACTGTTAGATTAAGTATACAGAACAAATTAATAAATATAAAAAAACAAACAAAACTCCTGTTACTGTAATTTACAGTTGACCATAGCTAGACTGTGGTGCATAATAGTGTCTGTAAATCCAATAAACTGCTGAATGTATGCCAGTTTCTAAATTCAAATGTTTCCACTCTTCATTTTTATGGAGGCGTAGGAGGAAGTAACACACGAGCTATCTCGGTTTATGATGTACCAGTTCATCCTGGATGAGTATGCAGGTCAACAATGACTTCCTGCTTCGCTCACTTTGTTCCATAATCAGCACGAAAGTATTTCACTTAGTTTCAGTGTTGCAAGAAAAAGTGATTAATGAATTTCTTACATTAGTGGCCTCACAAGAAGCTATGTGCTGTATGTGTATGTATGTGCGTTTACTGACTCCTCCTTGTAGAAAAAAAAAAAAAATCAGGTTTACATTTTTGCAACAAGTTCCAGCAAGCTTTAACCGCTCTCAAGCTGCATCCCAACTCCATACTGCACACTAGTTACATACATACATTTTTTTTTATATATATTTGGCAACTTTCCTGTGTTGCATTCAGGGACAGTTAGGACAGTTAGTACCCATTAACAGCACTCACAACGTCTCATTATAACGCCCCCAGTTTGAATAAAACCAGGTACCTTTTTGTTGCCTGTCACCTTGCTTTCTCCCCACCTCTCTCTACTGTGAGCTGTCACATAATAAAATAAATCTTTAAAAATGTGCATGTAGTATTGAATGGGGACACAGAGTAGCTCAAACTGCTGCACAGACCTGTAACACAGCATACAGAGCATCACACCAGAGCTGCAACAATTAGTCCATTCATTGTCGACAATTCATTTAATCAGACTATTTTAATAATCAATTGTTTTTTTTATTCTCTGATTTCAGCTTCTCAAATGTGAATATTTTCTGGTTTCTTTAACTTCTTTATCTATTTTTTTGGCAACAACTAACTGATGCATCAAGAAAATGATCGACAGATTAATCAACAATGAAAATAATCGCATTCAAACACATCTATCCTTTGTCGCAGCAGTTGTTTATCCCAGTGAACGCAGCGCGGGTCATTATACTCACTGTGGGGTGTAACTGTAGGGGGGTTTGTCATAGTTTGTGCTCTCGTCGTCCAGGTAACTCCTGGAGCCTCTCAGCTTATCAGGGTAGTCTGATATCGGGAGCACCTCAGGGCTACCGGACACGTTGTTCACCTTTAGGGAGAAATTCACTCATATTATACACATATATATCAATAAATAACATTTATTTTATATAACGCTTTACCAATGGTAACAAATAGACAATAACAGAAACAGCAAAGGCAATAAAAACTACTATATCAACTGTAAACAACATACATGTCAATATTACACGCCAACAGCTCAAGCTACAACTGACTTCATTCCAAAGATATTCAGTTTAATATGATATAAAACAGAGAAAAGCAGGAAATCTCCTTATTTGAGGCTGAAAAAAAATGTTTTTGAATGAAAAATCACTTTGACTAATCAATTCGTCAGCCAATCATTGCAGCTGTAATACATTTTAAAGGACCAGTATGTAGGATTTACTGGCATCTAGTGGTGAAGCTGCAGATTGCAACTCACTGTATTCAACCCGGGAGTGAGAACGTGCTGTGAAGTGTGAAGGAGAAACTACGATGGCTGTGATTAAAAGATTAACTGAACGGACAACTATTTTATCATTTAAATAATCTTTCTAATAACCAAATGTTTGCTAGTTTCAGGTACTCAGTTGTGAAGATTTGATGCTTTTCTTTGTCGTACATGATAGCAAAGTGAATATCTGTTGGACATTTGAGAACTTTACCTTTATATAGGGAATTATAAACAGGCATTTGTCACAATTTTCCCGACATTTCATGCACAAAACTCTCAATCTTTAATCAAAATAACTCTTATCATATACCCTAAAATGTATGACTTCTAAAATGTGTTGCTCCACAAAAGAAATACAATCCTTATAGAAAATATAGCTGCACCCAAATCCAGCTATTGGAAATGATCCACAGTAAAAACTCTGTTACGGGTGGCTCCCTCCAACAAACACATTGGATCTCTACCAACTCTGGTATGATGAGCCTGCATGGACTTGTCCTTTGAAAATGTGAGACATAATTGACCTACACCCTGCTGCACACCTCCAAAACAACATGTATGTGCTGCAGGTCGCCGCAGTCAGCACTTTCAGACGGGTTCCCACAAGCTGCAGAGAAAACTGCCTCTGGTTCCCAGTATCATGTTCCTCTTCTGGTGTTTTGTGTCTGCTAACTGGTGGGTTTTAAGGTTTGGAGTACCGGTCCGACCTGTTCTTCCTCTTCGTTGCTCTGCAGTGAACTCAGCTGCGAGGACTCGGCTGTGCTGAATGTCATCATGACTCCCAACTATTAACAGAATGACTCACCTACTCATCGCTACTTGTGAGGGGAGGTCAAATGTGAGAGTTGTTGCAAAGACGCTCCTGAAAATAGCTTGAGAAAGCATGATTCATCCTGCAATGTAAATGCTTTTGACATTTGAAATGTTTTGACTATACCAACAACAGGAAGTCCAGGTTTTTAAATCGCTGGACTACGACTGAAACTGTCATCTGTGTACATGCCACACCTTGAAACCGAGCACAGGGAGAAGGCGCTCATTGCACCACACTTCCCCTCCCCCCAGATAAACAGGTGACTGACACCAAACAGGTTGAACCACTTCAGCTGATGCACACTCGACTGCCGTGCTTCAGAGGGGAAACACACACTTCAGCTCAGAGCTTTTCACATCAGCTTTAACCAATGTTTCCAGTTTAAGGCTGAAACTAGCCATTATTTTCTAAATCGATTCATCTTATGATTGTTTTTTCAATTAACTGATTGATTGTTTTGTCTATAAAATGTCAGGAAAAACAAAAGGCCTGTTTTCTTATGGTTATTTAGTGGGGACAGTGCACATTAATCAGCACTGCAGTTTGCACTTCAGTGTAAATGTGACGGAGTTAGCTAATAAGCTAATTTTCATGCGTAGTCCCTGGGCAGGTTACAAAAAGTAGCGCCTAATGTCATCAGTAAAAGGTTTAAGTTTTATATTGAAAATCAATCAGAATGTTTTCAATTACATCTATCGCAATCACAAACAGAATCAATAATATACTTACTGTGGTAAATTTTAAAACAAAGAAGAGTTGTCAGTGACAGTCAGGGCATAAAACCACTGAGCTATTTGATCTTTACCAAATCAATACTAGATCAACTAGACTAGATAAAAAAATGTTTAATGGATTTGGAGAATCATGACGGCCCTACAGTTAATACAACCTTACATTTGAGAAGCTGAGGACAGCAAACATTTGGTCATTTATCTTTCAAAATTATTATTCACTTAATAATACAGTTGCCAATTAATCTCCTGTCAATCGACCAATCAATTAATCAACTACTTGCTTCAGATCTATAAATGTTCAAGTGAATCGTCGAGCAAAAAGGCAGAAATATGTCTAAGACAAGGATTTAATTCCATTATTTATTTCTTCAATAACTTCATATAAAACCCACTCCATCAAAAGGAGCAGAGAGAATCTATTATGTTCTCCCTTCTCAAAATAATATTATAAATGGTCCAACAAGCATTTGCTGCTTCTCTCTTTTCTGTCACTGTAAACTGTCTTTGAACTGTCTGTCGGACAAAACAACAACATGAAGGTCATCTGTGACTTTGTCTTCCCGGAAACGAGATTTTTGTCCTCGACATCCGCATCTAACACAGTGTATGAGTGTATTTAGGATATTGTGACGCAACATTTTACAACATTTTATGACATTTTACAGACTAAACAGTTCACTGATTTATTGAAAAATAACATGTAGATGAATCCATAATGACAGTGATTGTTCAGTCGATGAAATGTCGTAAAAGATTTTGTCCAACCAACAGTGAAACAGAGAAAAGCAGCAAATTCCTGGAGAAGCTGGAAGAAGAGAGTGTTTATCACGGCGACCGATTAATCAATGAAACGACTAACTGTTCCATCTCTAGTTAAGTCGAACAATCCAACAAAGCGCCATCACTCACCCATGCCTCTACATCCCCAGGTGGCTCCATCTCGTCCACAACCTTCACCCTCTTCCACAGAATGTTGCTCTTGCCGTAGTTTTGGATTTTCTGGCGAGTCTTCAGAGCGAAAACGAGCATGATGATCAGAGCGATGGCGACCAGGAAGCCCAACACCACAGCGATGGCCTGGATTTACAGTGGAGTTAAGAGTTACGAGTTACAGAAACAGAACGACTACGAGATTTAAAAAAGGCATTGAGGGATATAAAAAGAGAAGCGCTCACCTCTTGTGGCTCCACGACGCAGTAGTGGTACAGATACTGGTTGACGAACATCCCTGAGGGCTGCGGTTGTTGGTACTGAGCACACAGACCAGCAATCTGGCTGCCGTAGGCCGACCCGGAGGACTGAGCCATCGGGTTCACTGCTACCAAGTACACTATGGCGGCGATGAGCATTAGCATAGCAAGGATGGCGGAGATGATGATCACTGCTAGGTAGAACTTCCTGCTCTCCGATAGGCTCTGGTGAGACACGATGATGATGAAGATGGCCAGGGCCGCGATGAAGGACATGGCTGCCATGGCAATGATGAAGCTTTTGCCTGCTCTGGGGTCGTTGTAATTCCCTCCAATTCCACCGTAGCCGTAGTTGTTCCCAGCTCCGTATGCACCGCCACCAAAGCTGCCATACCCACCGCCGCCATAGCTTCCTCCTCCATAACCTCCCCCATAGCCTCCTCCCCCGTACCCGATGCCCCCAAATCCACCCAGGGCACCCTGACTGTCCCAAGCCAGCGTGGAGGCGACGCAAGCAAATATGGCGACGGACATCACGATGACCATGATGGACATGATTTTGAGGATGCCCGGTGGCGACGTCCAGCGGTAGAAATGCTGGAACTCGTCATCCGGGTAGTAGGAATAGGCCGGCTGGGGAGGGACGTTACTAAGAAAGGGAATAACATACTTTAACTGGCTGAATTTCATAGTAAAAGCATAAAATTAGATAAAGATTTGAATTGTATGAACCACTGGAATAAAAACAACACTACAATACTTTATATATTGGGCTAAATCAAGGTTATTAACATTGGGGGGGCATTGAGAGTCACCACTTGAGACTCATTTTCCACAATTCTTTGCATAAATTCACACATTTAGAACATTTTTGATTTTTCACATTTTTGACGACTAAATTGAGATTTGAATTCACATTTATAATCTCTGAATCCACAAGATGGCTGCCCCGTTGCTTACTGTTTACTGACTTTAAAAACAAACCTAGCAACCAGTAGTAATGCAAAGATTTCTTAAATATATTACAGAAATATTTTACTTTGAAAACTCAAAATCTGTTTAATGTATGTTTTGTATTTTGTACAAGTATCTATCTGTCTGTCTGTCTGTCTGTCTGACTTTATGACATTTGAATTAGTTAAAAACTGGACTTTATGGGGTTTTTTTGGTCATTAAAATATATTCAAGTAGCTCAAAGTCAAAGTGTAATTTCTAATTCTAAAGTTAAGTAAAGTTAAAAATGAAAATTGGTGGTGAAATTTAAAAAAACTAAGATAAAAAGTTCAAAATTGAACATTTGGGCAATTAATGATAATAAATAGACTCGACTACAAAGTTAGGTTTTCAAAGTAAAATAGTCAAATGTCAGTAGTATTTAAATTTTCAACATAAAAGTATTCAGTAATGGTTAAATTTCACAACAAAAATCAAATGAACGTGGCCTTTCTCTGCTTCCATATAGAGGGTGTTCGTACAGTCTGTCATTATCTGAAGCTCATTAAATGAATCAACAACAATAAGTTTAACTGTATTGATTGAAAGAGACTCACTATCCATCTGACTCATAGGGAGGCGGACTCCCGTTGGGCCTGGAGGACATTACTGCTGGATCCACTGGGTGCTGCTCTGTGGAAAGAATCTGGAAGAAGGTTTCTATCGTTAGGACAGATTTAATCAATAAAACATATTTAAAATACAGCTGCAGTTAATGATTATCTTCTTTATATATTCATTTTGTCTGTAGAGTATCAAAAAAATTGTGACCTTGAAGAACTTTGTGTGTTTTGTTCCAAGAACATCAAAAAAATAAAGATATTAAGTTTACTGTTTGCCAGATATTTTAATAATAGATCCTTTTCAAATCATTTTGAGTAAATTTTAAAGAAAATTCTCTAATTTCAGCTTCATACATGTGAATATTTTCTGGTTTCACAGTAAACTGAACATCAGCGATGAACAGCGATAAACATTTTCCATGTCCATTTTCTGACATTTTATGGACCAAACAGCTAATTAATTAATTAACAAAATGATAGACAGATCAATTAATAATGAAAATAATCGTTGGTTGCAACTTTATACGACATAAAACAATAAAAAGGCAGCAATTCCTCACATTTATGAAGCTTGGACTGAGGAGATTTTGAGTATTTTTGCTTTAAAATGCCTTAAACGATGAGTCCATTTAAAAAATGTCGCCGATTATTTCCCTATCAATCAACAAATCGATCAATGCTTTCAGCTTCGTTATGAAATCATACACAACCGACATAAAACAAGGTGCGATTTAAAACGGCCATTTTCGATACCAGACCTGGCAGCTGTGAAACTGAAACATCTCATGTCAATAAATCCACAAATGTTCCCGTTTTACCCAAATAAAGAAACAACCATTATTCCCACTTTATTGTAGGTTTTATTCTCATTAATCCCGCACTTTTCACGCAATTTAATCCCCATTATTTTGACAACACAGCTGAGGAAATGCTGTTTGAGGAGATAATTGATTTTAAACCCGTATCCAACAACACACCTGTCTGCGTCGTGGTTACAGGTATTGTACAGGTAACAGTTATTACACATATAACAGCAGTGAGTGGAAGAAGCCTTCAGTGTAAACTCACCTGTTGTCTCTGCTCTGTCTCTGCTGTCTCTCTCTGTCTCTGTCTCTGCTCCACCTGAAACGTCTCAACTGAAACTGCTGCTGATAAAAACAACACAGGCAACACCCAGGTGAGCCCCGCCCACTCCCTCTTACAGGTGTCACATTACGTAACAACACCGGAAGTCCACGCGGAAATACCTGGAAATGCTTCATTGAGAGACACAACAGGCTCAGGTTTTGGTATATTACAGTCTGATGACGAACACTATAGACAAAGACTATTTTTAGCTTGATAAGGAACAAACGCAATAACATTTGTTCTGATTGGTCTAAAACCTTGAAATTTGGTACCAGTACACTTTGGGCGAGTGTCTAACAGGGCAACTTTTAGGTTTAGATAAAAATGGAAAATCACAATTTTATTAGTGGTCAAAGTTCGGATTTATTTAAAAATGAGAAAAAAGTTAATTAAATGTTTTTTTTACACTGCATATTTGTGCATACCTTTGACATTTAACTTGTGAGTTTATAAATTTCAAATACTTGATTGTTCTCCTTATAGTTTCTGAGATACAGCCTTTTTTTAATCACACTACATTTAGTCTTTGGGCACAAGGGACTGCACTGTTTTTCCTAAAATGGTAGAAAATGCCCCAAATAAGCAATAAAAATGGAGTTTAATTTAACTTTATTCTGCTGAGGTTGACATTGTTGCACTCTGGTGACTCTTTCTTCCCTTTTCCAGTAAAAGAAACTGTATTCTGAGGACAGAAAGCACCAAACGGTCACTTAAATTATGAAAGAATGTGGACATTTACAGGAACATATTTACAATTACACCTGATAACATAAGAGGAACACCAACCTTATGATTTCATTTACATTCAATCAAGAGGTCCAGTGTGTACAGTGGTGTGACGAAGATTATATAAGAGATGTTTATGCACTTTGGATATTTAAGGGAATATAAAGTACAAAATATTTAATCTGTGAAATGGTAGAACAGTGTTACAACATAACAGACAACATTTAAAACTCTACTACAGATTCATCGAACAGTTGCATATAAAAACAGAGACAGTGTGCAATTAAAACAACGCAAATAA